TATGCATTTAACAGATACTCTGTTTATATTTATGCATTTAACAGATAATCTGTTTATATTTATGCATTTAACAGATAATCTGTTTATATGTATGCATGTTACAGATAATCTGTAACAGATAATCTGTAACAGATAATCTGTTTATATTTATGCAACAAATAATCTGTTTATATTTATGCAACAAATAATCTGTTTTTATTTATGCGTGTAACAGATCATTTATATTTATGCATGTAACAGATCATTTATATTTATGCATGTAACAGATCATTTATATTTATGCATGTAGCAGATGATAAGAGCTCCTTAATAAATGAACTCATGCAGCAGGAGCTGCAGTGTCGTGCAGGATGGAGGATGGAGGATGGAGCCATGTTTACCCCTCGTCTCTGGTTGCTCAGGCAGAAGGTGCAGATGCTCCGCGGCTGCTTCCCCGCGCTCTCCCCCTGCGCGTGTACCGAGCCCAGGCACGGCTGTGCGTCCGCGCCGCCGTCTCCAATGAGCAGCACGTTGGCCAGGTGTGAGATGTAGCTGGAGGCGAGCCGCAGGGTCTCGATCTTGGACAGCTTCCGGTCCACGGGTTCGGTGGGGATGAGGGTCCGGAGGGCCGTGAAGGCGGTGTTCACGCTCTGGGTCCGGCCTCTCTCCCTGGCGTTGGCCGCGCTCCTCTGCTTCATCACCACCGCGGAGTCCCCGGACTCCAGCGCGCGGGAAATCCGCGCGCGCTTCTCTGCGGATCCGCAGAAGCTGCGCTCGGAACCGCCGTCGCTCCCGCTGCGGTTCTCCTCCTCCTCCTCCTCCTCGGAGGTGAAGTCGGAGTAGATGAGGCGCGTGGCCACCGGCCGCAGCATGGCGAAAGTCATGACTAAAAAAAAAAAAAAAAAAAAAAAAACTTCTCCAAACAAACCCGGGAAGTGGCGCTACGTCTCCATGTGGCGCAAAGTGGACGAGCTGCGGTCCGAAGCTGCGTGAGATCTGAGAAGACTGAGCAGATGGACAGAAACAGACCTGAGGTCAGCTGGACTCATAACTGATGGGAGGAGCTGCTGCACGAGAGCCCAGGACTACAACCAAACCTTCTTTATCCCACAGCTGCTCAGAATTTACACTCAGATTATAAATCTATACATAAATTAGATTGACTCAAAGTGCTCAGACATAAGTCAAATAAAACCTCATGAAACAACTCATTAATCCACGTTAAACCAGACTGCTGTATTATTATTGATCATGTGCTTTATTCTTTATTGTGTTCATGTTTATGAAGTGTTCACTCTATTGTTTTCCTGTTTATTAGTTTGGGTTTCTTTAAACTATTCAGTAAGTGTTTCTGCATCTTTCTTGTTCCACAATTTTTGTGCTATTTCGACAAATCATAAATCAAAACCTTCAGGACAATCCTGCTGTGACTTTAGGTGTTAGTGCACCTTCAGCTTTTTCAAATATTTAGCCTTTTCTGCCATTTTTTTCTCATAGAAATGTCACGTTTTCTGCTCTGCCTGCCACAGTTCCTGTTCATGTTTGTTTCATCTCAGCTCCTGTCAACCTGCACCTCAGGAGAGTTCAAAAGTCCATGTGATGGTGAGACTCTATGCTGAGGGCTTTCCAGATGCAGCTGCTGGATGCTCTCAGAGGTTCCTCTGTAGAAGGTGGTGAGGACGAGAGGAGGCAGATGAGCGTTCTCCAGTCTCCTCAGAAAGTAGAGATGCTGCTGAGCGTTTTTTTGGCGACAGCGCTGGAGTTAAGGGTCCAGGTGAGTTCCTCCAGGTGCTCCTGATCTCTTTTTATCATCCCAATTCACCAAAATGTGCTCTCTGCACTGTAATTTAAGCTTGTTTCTGCTTTTTAGCTAATTTTCAGCTGGTTTTTGCTAATTTAATCTTTTTTCAGATAATTTCCACTTTTTCTGCTTCTGATTCAGTCAGTGTGTTGTTTCTGTTTTCTTCTGCTAATTTAGGCTTCTTCTACTTCAGCTAGATTATAGCATGTTTTAGCTCATTTCAGCTGCTTTTCAGCAAGTTCTTCTGCAATAAGCGTTCACACTGCATTTTTCCAGGAAATGCAATTTCTCTAGTTATGTTTGAGTTATTTTGGTACGAAAAGTGTACCTTTTTAATTTGCTCATCAAGTAAAATTTATAACTAAAGTATTTTTTCAAGAAAGAAAATGTAAACAACAATAATGCAAGTTTTATATTAATGTAGAGTAAATCTTAGATCTGAAGCTGCAGAAAACTCTGACACTTTTAGTGAGTTGAGACTTTTTAAATAATTTTCTAAATGTTTAAAAATTTAAATGCACACAAAAAAAACTTCAATATTATTGGAGGAGAACCAAAAAGAGAGAAATTATTAGAGCACAAAATCTTGCTGTTATGTCCACACTGTCCCCTGGTGAGGACAGCAGCTCGTCTGTCCCCAGTGAGGACGGATGCTGGGACAGCAGGAGAAAGTTAAGTGTGAGTAAATAAACAGTGAACAGATGATCGGAGGACGACAGCGATTTATTTGCCCACTGCCCCGAGTTCAGAAAAACAAAGTGGTGGCAAATGGATGATTTAGGGCCGTTTGTACGAAGAAGACACGTTAGTGGACAGAAAGTGTCTCAGCTGCATCAACAGTCGGAGATCAGAGCTGCAGGAGGTCTTTTAAAGGACCTCGGCAGGGTCTGCAGAAACAAACATCTGCTGGGCTTCATGGTTTATGTTTAAACTTCATGTGCTGTGATGTCTGATCAGTGACCAAAGATAAACAAATCTCTGATTCAGCAGCGAGTCGCAGCTAATTCCACACCGTGGAGTCTTGCTGAGACGTTAGTGGGTGTCTCGGTGGCTGCTGTGGACTGAACGGTGCTCCAAGCTTCCCACAAATGGAGCCATGAAAGAGAAGATCTGTTCATCCTGATGAGCTGAGAGCATGTTGGTCTTACCTCCTGCTGAGGTCCACAAGGATGGGCTTCAGAGGTCTGAGACAACACACACACACACACACACACACACACACACACACACACACACACACACACACACACACACACACACACACACTTGGGGCTGAGCTCTTCTTTACAGCTTTTACATTGAAAGTCATGATTTGATCAACTTAGTGTGGTCTGCGTAAACACATTAAACTTTACACATACTGAGATAAACCTTAGTCTTTCACAGCATACACGCTAAGATCATGCAACATCACGTGAAACTGCACACGTTCTTTTTAAGGTTTGACAAAAACTGATTTGAGTCTCAACATGAGATGATTTTAGTCTAAAACTCCAGTAAGAAAGGTGGCGGGCAACATGCATTCCTACAAGGAATGCTAGGCCTTTAAGTTTTTACTGTTATTTGATGACTCTGACCCTTTCACCTCCCCATCACCTCCGTCACCCCCATCACCCTCCCATCACCCCCACACTGACTCTGAACACTGCCTCTTTAAAAATGGACTTCAAAGAGTTTAATTTTTTATTTTTTTTACAATATTCAGCTCAGTGATGAAGCTTTTTATTTTTTGCAGTCCTATGTTTACTGGATAAATAAAAGATTCACAAACTCACCTGAAACTCTTTGTTTCTGTCTTTTTCTGTGTTGTTTTGTCTCGATGACACCAACAGAAACATTTGAACTGGAATTTAAAATACTTAAGTCAGATCCTCAGGAAGGATAAAAAATAACAGTGGTAAAAATAAAATAACTTGTTGAAACGTCTCGCCTTTAATACAAAAGACTTCATCTGAACTGGAACTTCATTGTTTTCATGAAAACTTTATGAAATAATAACGAGAACATTCTGCGACCAAACAAGACAAGCCCATAATGAGACGGCACCACGTCCTGACCGAGCTGAAGACTGAAGAAGGTTTGAACAGAGCAGACCTTCAATGATCTTTATGGTGTAAAAATCCAGAAGAACAAAATAAAGCTGAGCAGAAAGCTCAAAGTTTATTACGATTATGTCTCAGCTGAACCGTTTTTTGTTTTTTTTGTGAGTTTAAATAAAAGTGTGGATAGTGTGGAAAGGAGTGACATAGCTTTCAGAGGAGCAGATCCAAGTCTGACCCTTTAAATGAAGCTGTTGATAAAATGACATTTAAAATTTAAAATAAATTTTTTGTTAGTGTGGACTAATAAAAAAAGAGATGTTTCTGTAATCACAGTGGAAACGCACAACATTCAGTTTAAATTTTAATCATTTCTTTCTCAGATGATTATGTAAAGATGAATAACACTGCTGCTGTCTGGGTTAGTAAGAGAGTGAGCAGACCAGACAGTGAGTAGATTAGTGAATGAGCAGTCCAGAGAGTTACCAAACCAGTGTTAGCAAGAGAGAGAGAGTGAACACACCAGAGAGTGAGCAAACAAGAAAGTGAACAGGCCAGAGTGTGAGCAAACCAGAGAGTGGAAAGACCAGAGAGTGAACAGGCCAGAGTGTGAGCAGACCAAATTTGAGCAGGCCATAGAGTGAGCAAACCAGAGATTGAGCAGACTAGAGAGAGAGGAGGCCAAACAGTGAATATACTAGAGAGTGAGCAGTCCAGAAAGTGATCAAACTAGAGTGTGAGCAAGAGAGAGAGTGAACAGACCAGAGAGTGAGCAAACAAGAATGTAAGCAGGGCATAGAGTGAGCAAACCAGAGAGTGAGCAGGCCAGGGAGTGGAAAGACCAGAGAGTGAACAAACCAGAGTGAGGAGGCCAGAGAATGAACAAACCAGATTGAACAAGTCAGAGAGTGAGCAGACCAAAGTGAGAGCAGGCCAGAAAGTGAACAAACCCGAGAATGAGCAGGCCAGTGAGTGAGAATGCCAGAGAGTGAACAGACCAGAGATTGAACAAACCAGAGAGTGATCAGATCGGAGTGTGAGCAGTCCAGAGAGTGAGCAGACCATAGTTTGAGCAAGTGAGAGAGTGAACAGACAGCAAGTGAGCTAACCAGAGAGTGGTAGGCCAGAGAGTGAGCAAACCAGAAAGTGAACAGGTCAGAGAGTGCACAAACCAGTGAGTGATCAACCCAGAGAGTGAACAGGCCAGACAGTGAGTAGACCAGAGAGTGAGCAGTTCAGAGAGTGAGCAGTCCAGAGAGTGAGCAGACAAGAGAGTAGCAGTGGAGACCAAACAACTGGAAAAAAAAAAACGTGGCACATATCGTTCTGATCTCTGTCTTTTGGTGTTTTAAACATAAACCGTTTTAAATATTTTGCTGTTAGTTTCTACTCAGCCAACACTAACTGGACCATCTTTCTTTACTCATTATATTTTTGTTATAAAACTATATTGATCATGTAGTATTGTGAGTCTGGTGGTTAGTTCTGCAGGAGGAGATGTGAAATGAATATTGTGAGTCTGAGTCCCATTCAAGGGAATACTGGAAATCTGTTACCTTCTTCTTTCAGCCGCTCCCTTCTTCTCAGGTCTCCACAGTGAACTAACTCGCATGAAGACTTGGTACTTGTTTTTACAACGGATGTCCTTCCTGACCCAACCACAGACCACTGAGCTACCACAGCCCTCTGTGTGGAGCAGAGCGCTGCCACCTAGTGCACCCAGGGGAGCAGATGGTGGGGCTTAAGGTCCTTGCTCATGGACCCAGGGTGGAGCAAATGAGTGTGGAGGCAGGTGTGGGTGTTTCATCTTTCACACCCACATTTTGATCTTGTCGGTCTGAGGGATCAAACTGGCAACCCTCTGATCACAGGCTCACCTTCTCTAACCTCTGCACCACCACTCCCCCCTTTCTGATAATGTTAACATGGGACTTAAATGTAAAGGTTCATTCATGTTTCTATTTTACTATATACAGCACACACCCCCACACCACCTACACACACACACACACACACACACACACTACAGAAAGATGTCATTTCC